GACTGCCTATGTACCCTAAGACGGGATCAAACCATTCGTAGTTTACCCTTTGTTAATTTCGACATTCTCATGGTACTTTTTAGCCGAAAATATAGAGTTCTCGAATCACTCAATGGAACTCAACTAGCGTGATTCACTAGATTTCAGACTACTTAGGCCATCTCCAACTGAAGGAGGGTCAGATGGCTCGTTTTAGCCCTTTGACCCTCTAAGAAATTAATATTTTAATGAATAGTGCAAGGCCATATTTCTTACCATATCCAATCGAGGGGCCAGAGGGCCATAGGCCAAACATAGCCCTATGACAAAAAATCATCTCCAATTGAGGGCCAAAGGGCTATAGTATGGAATGTGAAGAATTGAAATAAAATGAGGTAAGATAATATGGAATGGTGAAAAATATGTGAGAAATAGTGTAGGAAAAGATTAGAAATTTAAAATAATAAAAAAAGTGAGCTGGCAAAAAAAAAATCATAAACCCTTTGGGCAAATGGAAAAGAACAAAAAAAAAAAGGCTAGCTCATTGGGCTGACTAGCTAGTTGGAGATGGCCAGCCTGCTAGCTTGATTGGTTGGTTTTGGCCCAGTGGGGTCCACAAGCTTTTGGCCTAGCCCTCAGTTGGAGACGGTTTTCGTGTCATTTCGCGTTATTTTCGATCCTATGGCCTTTTGGCTGGATCGATTGGAGATGACCTTACGAAACCACATAACATCCAGGATTGTCACTTTATCTTTTACATATATCCCACTGTCTTCCAACAACAGTTCCACAATCATGACAATTAATCAATTCAATGAAGATGCGCAATTGACATTTAATTATGTTAATCAACCATTAAAATCATATATTCCTTCACTAAGTTTAATCAAAGATGCACAATATTGACATTTAACTGCGTTAATCAACCATTTAACTATGTTTTTGTACTTAAATAAGATGAAAAAAGGACGAAAGACCACCATAGTCACAATGTTCCACATAATTAATATAAAATTATAACAAAAAAATTACAAGGTACGATTACTTTGATACATACCGATGTTAAGGTATGTTTTGTAATGTTGATTTGGCACGTACCGGTCCTTTAGCACACATAGTAAGGCCATCTCTAACCGAAGGGTCCAGAGGGTTGAAAATAACCCTAAAACCGTCTCAAACCGAGGGCTAGTCCAGAGGGCTCGGGAATCTGGGAGGGCCCCACGAAATTTCAAAGGGCCAAAGGGCCAAAGGGCTGGTTGCTTTCGACCAGCCAGCCAGCCCCGGGCTGGCTATTTTTTTTTATTGTTTTTCCATTGCTGTCGGTTATAACTGACAGCATTAAAGAATGATTTTTTAATACTGTCGGTTATAACCGACAGTAATAATTATTCAAAGGCAAAATTTTTATTTTTAATTACTATTAGTGTAGGTTATAACCGACACTAATAGTTTGAATTTTTTTGAATATAACGGCTAGTAGCCGTTGTATTAACTTTTTTTTTTATATATGAATTTAAACTTCTCTTTTTCCCTTTTTTTTCCTTTTTATATGAATCAAATTTTGTTTCATATTTTTTTTCAATTCTATTTTACAAAATTTGTTTCAATTTTTTTTAAATTCTATTTTTTTCCTATAACTTCTATTTTACAAAATTTGTTTCATATATTTTTTTAAATTCCATTTTTTTCCTATAACTTCTATTTCACAAAATTTGTTTCAATTTTTTTTTAAATTCTATTTTTTTTCCTATAACTTCTATTTTACAAAATTTGTTTCATATTTTTTTAAATTCCATTTTTTTTCCTATAACTTCTATTTCACAAAATTTGTTTCATATTTTTTTTCCTATAACTTCCTAGGCCATTTATACAACATTAAATTAAATTAAGTAACATGAAACAACATTAAACAATATGAAACAACATTAAATAACATTAACCAACATACAAATTATACAACATAAAAAAACATTTAACAACATGAAACTTAAACAACATTTTTAAAAACATTTAACAACATAAAACTTAAAAGCCTACTCCATGCTTCTTTTGGCCCAAAGATGTGCAACAAGATCCTGCTGTAGGTACTTATTTGTGGCACGAGAACGTATCATTCTATAGCGCCTCATATACTCATTTATAGAGATACTACCAGTTCTTGGATTGAAAGGCAAATTAGGCCCATCATATATTTTTGCTAGAGCCCTTCTTGACCTATTTGGATCTTCTTGGTCGTCATCGGGCTCTCCATTAATATACCTATCTCGCTCATCCTCCACTATCATATTGTGTAATATGATGCAAGACATCATGATGGAGTTCAAATTTTCTCGACTCCACCCTCTTGCCGGTTCGCTGATAATCTTTCACCGTGCTTGTAGAATACCGAAAGCTCTCTCAACATCTTTCCGGTATGCCTCTTGGTGTAAGGTAAACAACTTTTCTGCATCATTCCTAGGGTTTGGAATTGCTTGGACAAGTATCGCCCACTTTGGGTAGATGCCATCTGCCAAGTAATACCCCATATTGTATTCACGGCCGTTGATGTAGTAGTTAAGTTGAGGTGCTTTACCTTCTGTCAAGTTATTGAAGAGGGATGAACGCCAAAGAACTGTAATGTCATTTTGGGATTCAGGGACTCCAAAGAAAGCATGCCAGATCCATGTGTCATATGAGGCAACTGCCTTTAACACAACAGTTGGCTTTCGACCTTCTGCTAAAGCCTCCTTGCCATCCAGTGGGACAATTCTTCCAATCCCAATGCATGCAGTCTAATGACCCTATCATGCCCGGAAACCCACGGTCTTCAGCTTTGTGAAGGAGCTGATTCAGATCTTCTTGATTTAGCTCTCGGAGGTACTCGTCTTTGTAAACCTGAACAATTGTGTTACAAAATTCTTCAAGAGTATTAAGGCATGTAGACTCAGACATACCATGGGTTTTATCCATCGAATCAGCTGAGGAGTCATAGGCCATCATTCGGAGTGCAATAGTAACCCAGTAACCTTTTGATGAGGTGAGAAACTAAGGCGGCCTACTCTGTCTCGCTTCTGTCGAAAGTATGGATTGACCTGCTGGACATCACGAAGTAAACGCTCGAAGAAATGATGCCTCATCCGGAAGCGACGTCTGAAATCTTTTTCTGTGTACACCGAGTTGGGGTTGAAGTAGTTGTTCATTAGATTGGCATGCGCCATCGCTCTGTTTCGTGGTTTGTAAGAGCGACCAGCAACAGAGCCATCCCATTCAGGTTGTTCCTCAGTTGGCTGACACACCATGGCCGCAGCCATGGCTGCTGCCATGTTTTGTTTGTTGCGCCTTACTTGAACTTCTTCATCAGACTCCTCATCTTCTCGTCTCATTTGCGCCCATTTTGCTTCCAATTTGAAATTGGATGAGGACCCCCAATTGGAATTGGACGAAGATCCAAAGTTGGAATTCATTGCAAACTTGAATTGAAAGAGATTGAATTGCAAGAGATTGAATTGAAATAGATTGAATCCAACGGCTAGCTGACAGCTGACATCATGTTGACGTCACTTAGCAGTTGGATTTGAATTTGAATTGTAGTTTTTAAATAATAAATTATGTTTGGCCCTATGACCCTTTGGCCCTTGGTTCGAGACGGTTTTTTGTGACAGGACTAAAACGAGCCCTTTGGCCATTTGGCCCTCGGTTGGAGACGGAGGCCAATATGGCCCTGTACTGTTCATTAAAATATTAATATCTTGGGAAATCTTGGAGGGCCAGAGGGCTAAAACGAGCCATCTGGCCAGCCCTCGGTTAGAGATGGCCTAAGGTTTCTTTGAAACATACTAGTCATTTGGTCCGTACAACAGTACTTCGTGAGACGTACCAAAAGTTGAAGCGCTATATATCGTCAAATTTAGTTCGTCGCTTTAATTAGTACATTAATGTTCTATAATTAATTTAAAATTATACTTTTTTTTGGTTAAAAAACAAAGAAAGAAAAGAAAAAGCTTTAAAGCCTTTTTGCCTCACGTACCATAGTCGTCAATCATGCGATAGAGCTGCATTGAAAATGAGGAACAAATACACAGTGGTAAAACTGGAATAAAACCATGTTTGATTATGCTGAAATCTGCAATGATAAATTGATAACTGGGAGAAACTTCACACCAGATCTCAAAAAGCCCGGCAACCACAAAAAAAAAAAAAAAGAAAAAAAAATCAGAATACTAAAGAAAATTAAACAAAAAACAAATTGTTAGCTATCCAAATATAACAAATGTACCTGGGACCATTCAATACGGAAAAGGATCCCCGCCAGAATCTTTTTGTGGGGATCTGACGAATCAAGCAATCATAGTCGTTTATCGTATATCGTGCAGTCAGTTTTCTTTAAATATTATTTATATTCAATTTTAAAATTTGAATTTAAAATGATTTCCGACCTTACGTTATACGATAAACGACCGTGATTGTTTGATTCCCGGGTCCCCACAAAGAGGATCCTTTTCCATTCAATACAATCTTCAACAATTTGATCTGTCTGTCTCCCACTCCCATCCTTCCTTGAAAATGAAACCAAAAAGCCCACAACGCATCAGAGAAACAGAAACCTCAAAAACCAGCGGAAAACCCAAAATCCTCAATAAAAACTTGAGGCCATCCAAGTTCAAATGTGAGAGATAAATCTGAAAAAACACAAGCAAACGTGCAGCAAGCTCTAATCCCTATAAAAAAAGCCGCAGTAAAACAAACCTCGAACCAGAACCACAAACTCGGAAATTAATAATTAGCATTTTAATTTCAATATTTTTTTACCCATACTTTTGTTGCAAATCACAACTGTGACAAACGGCTACATTTAAAAGGCCAAAATGGTAGTTGAGATGACAATCTGATGTTAAATTAGATCTGGCTATGCGCACTGGCCCTGCCAGCCACTTTTCTATATTTATACCGAAGCTTTAATCACTCTAACCGTGTTGTGGAGCACTCAACATATATACTTGAGAGACTACGCTTTCTCCTCTCACTCACTCAGTGCTTCAAAAATGGCAAAGGCTCCAGAACAAGAACACCCTGTGAAGGCCTTTGGATGGGCTGCTAGAGACACATCTGGCCACCTCTCTCCCTTTAACTTCTCCAGAAGGTAAACATATATGTTTTGCTTAATTTTTCCGTCTAATTTTTTGGCAAATAACCGGTACGTATGTTTTGATATGATATGTGTGTATGTACAGATCAACAGGTGATGAGGATGTGAGGTTTAAGGTGTTGTATTGTGGGATATGCCACACTGATCTTCATAACATCAAGAATGAATGGGGTATCTCTTTGTACCCTATGGTTCCTGGGTACGTACAAATAACCTTCAAACTTTTGATTATCCTTCTTGTTAATATATATTCTTTTGATTATCCTTCTTGTTAATATATATTCTTTTCTTTGGTTTTCTCCATCAATGTATTTTCTGTTAAATGCACGATTTAGAAGAGGCACCATCTTTTTATTCGAGTAAACTTCACATAATTAAATGAAGTAAAATGTAGACATAGATGTAGTCACATTGGTTAGAATAAATGTACCTTTTCATGTGATCTTGAGTTCAAATCTTCTTCCCAAACTATCACTCGTATGTGGAAAAAAAAAAAAAAACACACACACACACAGCCACACACAGCTTGTTTAATCTATAAGTTAGAATATAAATGTGTTTTAAAACAATAATCCATAAGTTATAGACTGTTGAGTTTTCAATTGATCTGTAAAGGGGTCGAAATTGGCTTAATTCGTATTTGATTCGTTTATTATTTGGATTGGCAGATCTAATTAATTGTTCGTATCAAAAATAATAAAATTCGTATTCAATGTATTGAAAAACTTATGTTAACATATCAGACTTGAATCCTATTTAAATTATAGGTTGAAAATGTCAAATATAATATTAGATTTTGGGTACTAATACTTTGAGAATCACCTGTGGATTGAGACTCGTTCATCATCTTGGGTACTACTATTTTTAGAATCACCTGTGGACTGTGACTCGTTTATTTGCTTATATGAGAGGTCTTTAGGACTCATGAACATATTTGTAATAACATTTTAAGTTAGTTTTGAGGTGATTCAACTTGTATGATACAAATTTGACACCAAAAAAACAAAAAAACAAAAAAACAAAAAAAAAAACTCAATCCACAATTTTTTATTTTATTTTATTTTTTTTGAATAATACCAGGGAGACAAAATTTTGTAAACTAAATGAAATGTAAGTTTATGATTGGATTATTACTTAAAGATTGATAAATGTGCTCATTTCTATTTGTGACACTTCATTTAGTTTGTAAATTTTTTCTACAAATTTAGTCTCTCTAGCATTATCCTCTTTTTTTTTTTTTTTTTTTTTTTTTTTTTTTTTTTTTTTTTGGTCGAATCCATATCTTGTTAATTACATTGAACTTGGGTCACATTTTTTTTAGTACAACGATATATATTATACTAAGAGGAGAGGGGCTTGGTTAAGTTATACAATGGGCAACCGAATTTAGTATCGAATTTGTTATCTACGAGATTCGAACCTAAAACTCTCACTTACAAATAAAGAGAAATACCACCAGATCGTAGTATTGAATGACAACTTGGACCGCATTTAGATCACCATTAGTTCGATAAACCTTTTCAATAATATGGGCGAGCCCAACTGTGAACTGTCCCTGACTCCCTAATAAACACACACCATTAATTTCAGCAGTCACCGAGTCAACTTAGTCTCGTATATGCAATAATTGAACCGTCAATTGCTCTTCAATGTTGTCAACTAACTCAACTACTCAAGGGCATAGCATGTAGTGCATATCAAATTACTGATTAATGGTTGGCCCAAATTAAAAGGTGTATTGGACTATATTAACTTGATTTGGCACATGTATGTTCACATAATTTGGTATGGGCAAATCTCCCTTGTCAACTCTTTTTCATAAATGTTATTTTTTTTAGGTACAACTATATATTTTAAATTAAGGAGATGAATGAGTTCCGTTAAGCCACACAAACCTTCACTATTCATGAAATTTGAATCTTAGACCTCTCATTTACAAGTGAAGAGGAATACCATTAGACCGTAGTACTGAGTGGCTTCATAAATGCTATTTCTATTTTTGTTTTGTTTTTTTCAACTAAGCTCTTATTTTACTAAATAACAATTTAATCATGAAGAGCTTCATGTCAAACCAATAAATAAGTTTTTAATATAACTATATATTTACATTAAATGATAGATGACAAAATTGAGTTCAAACTCGTCACGTGCAAGAATTAAATGTAAGGCCTCTAAATTACAAAATACTTCTTTATAAAAAATATAGCGCTATAGTGCGGTACCAAGTGGCCCAAATAAGTTCTTAAAACATTTAAAATTTCTTACAACATTATGGTCTTTGCACGTTTTGTTACAAGAATTCTCCTTGACTGCTCAACACATGCATAATACATGCGCAATTGCTAGTATTATTTAATTAAACACATCTAAAAAATTTTAATATCAAAACAAAAAGCAAAATTGGAATTTAATTTGGCTAACTTTCAGGCACGAGATTGTGGGGGAAGTTACAGAAGTGGGAAGCAAGGTGAGTAAAGTGAAAGAAGGAGACAAAGTGGGTGTGGGCTGCATGGTTGGTGCTTGCCATGCATGTGAGAGCTGTAACAGCAACCTTGAAAACTACTGCCCCAAAATGATACTTACCTACGGTTCCATTTACGCCGACAGAACTGTCACATATGGAGGTTACTCGGACACAATGGTCGCCAATGAGCGCTACATTGTTCGTTTCCCCGAGAACCTGCCACTTGACGCTGGTGCTCCTCTACTTTGTGCAGGGATCACAGTTTATAGTCCCCTGAAGTATTTTGGCTTAGCCGAGCCTGGTAAGCATGTTGGCATTGTAGGCCTTGGCGGGCTTGGTCACGTTGGTGTGAAATTCGCTAAGGCCTTTGGGGCAAAAGTGACTGTGATTAGTACCTCCCCTAGCAAGAAAGATGAAGCTCTGAAGCAACTTGGGGCTGATTCATTCGTGGTTAGCCGCGACCCCCAGCAAATGCAGGTTCATTTCTAGCCAATTTCTTATGATATGTTGGCTTGTTTTGCTCTCATTAAATTAATCCTTTTTAAAAATGTTAATAGAGGATCAGGCAAGATTATTTCCTTGGTGCACTTGACTTGTGATGATTTTGTACATATTAATTGCAGGCTGCCATAGGAACACTGGATGGCATCATCGACACAGTCTCAGCTGCGCATCCCATTGTGCCCTTACTTGGTCTTTTGAAGCCCCATGGGAAACTTATTCTGGTGGGCGTACCAGAAAAGCCACTTGACCTCCATGTGTTTCCTTTAATCATGGGTAAGTATAAAACTCCTGGATAATTTGTGCATTATCTCGTAAATTATTTCGGCCTAAAATCTAAAATTATTATGAATATGTGAATCTAGGAAGGAAGTCGGTGGCGGGTAGTGGAATCGGAGGAATGAAGGAGACCCAAGAAATGATTGATTTTGCAGCAAAACATAATATAACGGCGGATGTTGAAGTTATCTCAATGGATTACGTGAACACAGCAATGGAGCGTCTCGCTAAGAATGACGTTAGATACCGATTTGTGATTGATGTTGGAAACACACTGGCTGCTAGCAAAGATTGAAGACTCAAGAAGGGAAATAATTAATGAAATGTGTTGGTCTAAGTAACTAAATTTCATCCAAGTACGTAGGTTGATTAGTGTATGAGACGGTTTATTTTGCTTCTCTTCGCTATTTGATATTTCAAATAAGAAATGTTGGAATCTTATTGGTCTTACTAATTATGATAAGGTTAAATATGTTGTTAAATTAAGAATTAATTAGAGTTAATATTTGAATCAAACACTATCCTTAAAAGAAGGACCTATATAAGCTGACCTGAAAGAGTGGTAGATAACCCACTTTGGTATTTAACATAGATATTACGGTTACTAGCTGATGCCCTTAATAGGTGGGAATCAGTTAGGGTTTGTCTGTATCTATATATATAGGAGCACCTAAAATGGTGAAACAGTTGCCACACTCCGGTTTAGTGGTATTTCTCTTTACTTGCAAGTGAGATAATATCATATGTTAAAATAAAAATTAAAAAAAAAATGATGAAACATTTTAAATACTATAAATTACCCCTCAAGAATTTTAAAATTACAATTGAATTAAAAGGAGTTAAAATAATTCAACAAATATTAATTTTGAATGAATTTAAAAATTTTAAACATTAAAATTTTAAACTTTAGAAAAAAATAATAAAATCCCATATTAGTGGGTGGTTTATGTTTAACTTCTAATTTATTTTCAAAAATATTTTTAATAATATATAAATAGAAAAACTTGAATTTCTTAATTTGTTTTAAAAAAAATCATAAAAAAAACTTTAATTTAACATACAAATGTCAATCACTACTACAAAAGAGGTCATTACTGGCCGTGTAAAAACCGACAAGAAACCCCAATTATTGTCAAATTTTTGGTAAAAATCTGACATCAAATAATGCAATGTCAGATGGGGGAATCGACACCATTGCTAACATCACGAAAAGGGTATTGACGTCGGTTAGTCCCCTTAATCCGCCACCATGAAGCAAAGTAATATCAAATAAAAAAGAACAACAACGTCGGTTAAAAGTGACATCCAACTTTACGTTGCTTAGAAGTGACATTAAATTCTGACATGATGGCGGTCCTAACCGACATCAAGTAACAATTAAACAATTAAAATATCAAACCTACTGTCGGTCCAAACCGACATTGTAACATCCCACATCGCCCAGGGGAGTGAATTTTGTAAGCCTTATATGTACATGCCCATCTCTTCCTAACATAAGGCTTTTTGGGAGCTCACTGGCTTTGCGTTCCATCGGAACTCCGAAGTTAAGCGAGTTCGTATGAGAGCAATCCCATGATGGGTGATCCACTGGGAAGTTTTCGTGTGAGTTCCCAGAAACAAAACCGTGAAGGTGTGGTCGGGGCCTAAAACGGACAATATCGTGCTACGGCGGAGTCGAGCCCGGGACGTGGTGGGGGCCCTGATCGGGATGTGACAGAACATCTCGATAAATAAAATAATTATTATGCTGTCGCCCATAAGCGACACCAAATATATTAATAATAAAAAAAATGGCTTCAGTTTTTAATTAATAATAATTAAAAAAATTATATAAAATAATTCCCACCATATTTCATATATAGGCCAAAGCAAACATTAATAAAACTATTAACAATAATAATAGTACCAAACACTAACAATTATCCACCATATCTACAATTAACTACAATTCTTAAAAATGGTCAACCTATACATATTCTTCCCGAACTCTTGCAAAAGATTTTGAACCGGTTGTGTGGTTCATTGTTTTCAACTGCCGATTATGCTTTTTTTTTTTCCATCAATCTCCTGAAAATAAGAGAATTTATTAGACAAATGTCAAGGTATAATAAAATAAATCATAAATGAAAGATTTCTGTGATCTCTAACCTCTACCGCTACATGTTTTGAAAAGGTACTAGAATTATCATTAATACAATTTTCACACGAATCAAATGAACAAGGCTGTTCTTTCCAATTGGGAATTGAGGATCCGTGTCTCTATTGAGTTGATCCTTATAAATACAGAAGAAAAACAATTACAAACCAAGAAACAACAATCAGTTTTCAATTTAAGCATAATACTAGTTAGAATACAAAACAGAAACTGAAATTAATAATCATAATAATTTAAAAATGAACCACCTTCGAACTCTTCATCTTTGAAATGGACTTCCTCAGAATGTTCATCTTCAAAATGTTGATCCATAGCAAAAGTTACTGGAAAGAGAAGGGGAAAAATTGAAATGGGGGAAGAAAGGAGAAGGAGAAGGTGAAGGAGAAGGAGAAAGATTGAAATTGGGGAAGAAATGAAAGCACAGATGAAATGGGGAAGAATGAGGTTTAAATATGGATACTAAGTTGGCGTCAGTTAAAACCGACATTGATTGCACTGATGTTGAATTAAAAGCCACTGGTGTCAAATTAAATGAAGCTTGTTGTCAGTTAAAACCTACACCAACTTTTATAACACTTTACTAATATGCATGTTGAATTAAATGAAGCCACTTCCTAACACACTTTATTGAAATTCATGTGGCGTTGGTTTAGATGAAATTTGGTGTCGATTCTAACCGACACCATCTTCTGACATACTTTATTGAAATGCATGGCGCGTCAGTTTAAATGGAGTTTGTGTTGGTTAAAAATGACACGATATCTGACACATTGACTACAAACTCTTCTCAATCCATTTCCTCGTGCAAAACAAGCGGGAAAATTCCCGCCTAAATATTTCAAATTATCTATCGTCGATCAATTCTTTATGTACTCAACCACCTCAAATAAAATCCCTACAAAATTAAATTGTGTTGATGCACAAAATCAGTGAGGATTTTAGTAAAACAGAAAGTGTTAAGTTTGTAACCTTCGCTAGATTGCTTCGGTCACTAGTGTGGATAAGTATGTAAATGGATAGAGACAGGGAAGCAAACACAAGAGTACGTGGTTCACCCGGATTGGCTACGTCCATGGAGTAGAGGAGTTCTCATTAATAGTGAAGGGTTTACACAAGTACATAGGTTCAAGCTCTCTTTTAGTGAGTACAAGTGAATGATTTAGTACAAATGACATTAGGAAAATATTGTGAGAGAATGATCTCTATTTATAGAAGAGAGTTTCTAGTTTCATTTGGACATTGACACGTGTCGTGCTGTGATTGGCCTCTGATGTCGTCACGTGTCGCGTTATGATTGGCCTCTGATGTTGACATGTGTCGCGTTGTGATTGGCCTCCTGGTTGGAGGGAGACTCTTGTGGGTCCTTAAGGTATAATGTTGACCGGTGCTTAGTAGTTTTGGGGTTGGTCAAGTATGGTACAAGTAGTGCTCCCCTAAGTTCCTGAGTGAGGGAAGCTTCTTGGTTGGGGACTTTCAAGATCCAAGCCATTGAGTAATCACAAAACTTCTAAGTACCGAAGTGTGGTATCATTTTTACTTGCCATATCTCTCTCATAGGTAGATGTGGCATCTTCTCTTGAAGTACTTTTCCTTCATCCAGGAGTGGTATCTCTAATCGGTGGAGATGCACAAGGTAATGTGTCAATTTCACTTGAAGCTTACTTATAGTTTTGGGCTTGGTCAAGCTTGATACAAACCCTATAGTGGGAGTCCCCCAAGTCTTTGAGTGAGAAGGTCTGCTGAAGGAGGTAACAGACAAGGTAAGCAATCAGACTTCCAAGCAAACAACCTGGATTGGAGGTTCGACTTCGGCTTCCGGTTGATTGTTCTCCTTCTCCTTGTGTCATAAACAGCAACAAGGATAAGGAGAAACAAATGGAGAAGAGATGATATGAGATACTTTTACTTTTGAAGAAGTAACTTTCCACGGGCTTATTCTTGAACTGGGCTGGAGGGTTCTCCAGAGTATAAGGTCGACTCAAGAATTTGAGAGTCCAAACAAGTCCCTTAAATCTAGAGTACATTCGACCCTAATGATATGGGATACTTTTGTTGTCGACAAAGTAGTGGGTGTGGTATGGCGAGGCTTTGCTCTTTGATGATGGTGTCAGCGAAACGTTATTGAAGCTTCTCGAGTCCTTCGAATAGGGCAGTGATGCTGGGTTTGGATTTGATTTAGACTCCTCTGTCTGGGTTGTATGGTTCTGCAGGAAGGGCATCGTGTTGTAGTGATCTGTTCCAGCTCATCATTGGTCATTCTGCTTCAATCTTTTACAGCATTTGTCCCTGATGCAGGAGTGGAATGCAACATTTGCATTTAATGGTCATTCAGAGCACTACTTCTCAGCGATTCATCCATGCGTGGCAGCTTCAGTGTAAAGCGTCAATATCATATCAACTGTTCTGAGGTATTTGTCGAAGGACTTCGTGACCTTGATAATCGTTGAGGATGAGATGAGTACTCGAGTGCAATGTTAGGCAAACAACCATGCAAAGATTCTAGGCAATCAGTTCCAGATCGGAAGTTTGATTTCAGGTTCCGACTGATTGCGTTTTTTCTCCTTGTTCTGCAGGTAAGAGCAAGGGCAAAGGAAAAGACAGGGAAAAAACATGATATGAGATACTCTTGCTTTTAACCCTGATGATATGAGATACTCTTGCTCTGGTGTGGCTTGTTTGCATAGGTATTATCGGGGGGGGGGGGAAGAAGCTGAGTATTTCGAGAGACTTTGCTGGGAATGCCCTCTCGGATGTGAATAAAAGTTGAGCATTTTTTATTTTATTTGCAGGTATGCCTGGTTGTGGAGGATGGAGGTCAACATATATAGGAATTGTTTCAACAACGGGTAGTAATGTTATTCTTTTACCCTTCTTGGTCATAGCAATGTAGTGGGAGCTGCAACATTCACGTGTTTTAACTTTGTCAGAGCACTTTGAAAAAGTGGTCTGTGGTATTTGGAAAGCTGATGTTGCGTGTGAAGATTGCATACAAGCTTTATCCAAGGAAATCTTGCTCTTAAAGTTCGGACATCGATGCTTCTTCGATTTTCGAACAAGCAATCCTGTTGGGGATCTGGCTCTCGAGATTCGGAGAGCGTTGCCTCTTCGATTTTTGAGAAAGCAATCCTGGTGGGAGTCTGGCTCTCTAGATTCAGAGAGCGGTGTCTCTTTGATTTTTTAGAAAGCAATCCTGGTGGGAGTCTGGCTCTCGAGATTCGGAGAGCGGTGCCTTTTCAATTTTTGAGAAAGCGATCTTGGTGGGAGTCTGGCTTTCGAGATTCGGAGAGCGATGCCTCTTCAATTTTTAAGCAAGTAATCATGTTAGGAGTCTGGCTCTCAAGATTCGGAGGGCGGTGCCTCTTCGATTTTTGAGCAAGTAATCCTGTTGGGAGTCTGGTTCTCAAGATTTGGAAAGCGGCGCATCTTCGATATTTGAGCAAGCAATCTTGTTGGGAGTGTTTTCTCGAATGTGAGTAAAGGTTTGGCATTTTTGCCAGTCTGCCTTGCCATGGAGCATGGAGGTTGACACACATAAGGACTTTCCAGTTATCAAGCAGTGGTCCTGTTCCTTTACCCTTGTGGGTAATAGTAGGTTAAAATTTATGTGTCTAAACTTTGTCAGAGATCTTTGGCGAAGTTATCTATGGTACCCGAGGAGCTAATGTTGCGTGTGGGGATTGTCGACATATTTTACTCAGGAAAATCTGCTTCTCGAAATACGGAGAGTGGTGCCTCTTCGATTTTTGAACCAACGGCCCTATTGCCCTTTCTTTTGTAGGGGCACCAATTGTGTATAAGAAGTACGTTTAGAGAGTTATTGCTTGCAGGAAGTTTCCGCTTATTTTTGTACTTCAGAGATTTATTGCACCTCATTTCTCATTCATCATTTCTAAGAATGTCTGGCCTATTCGACCGTCATTTTGACTTGAACCTTGTTGAAGAGGCAGCCCCGCCTTCTCCAGACAACATATGGCGCCCATCCTTCGTCTCCCCAACTGGTCCTCTTACCGTTGGGGATTCTGTGATGAAGAATGATATGACCGCTGCGGTGGTGGCTAGGAACCTTCTCACTCCCAAAGATAACAGACTATTTTCCAAACGGTCTGATGAGTTGGCTGTTAAGGATTCTCTGGCTCTTAATGTTCAGTGTGCAGGTTCTGTGTCTAATATGGCCCAACGCCTATTTGCTCGAACCCGCCAAGTTGAATCATTGGCGGCTGAAGTGATGAGTCTCAAACAGGAGATTAGAGGGCTCAAGCATGAGAATAAACAGTTGCACCGGCTCGCACATGACTATGCTACAAACATGAAGAGGAAGCTTGACCAGATGAAGGAATCTGATGGTCAGGTTTTACTTGATCATCAGAGATTTGTGGGTTTGTTCAAAGGCATTTATTGCCTTCGTCTTCTGGGGCTGTACCGCGTAATGAAGCTCCAAATGATCAACCTTCGGATGCCTCCTCCTTCTAGGGTTCTGTCCAGTACTGAGGCTCCGAATGATCCCCTCCGGTGCCTTCTCTTTCTGGGGCTCTACCGACTGCTGAGACTTCTCCTAAGCAACCTTTGTGAAGGCTCCCTCTTGTTTGTTTATTTTGACTCATGTATATGTACATATTTGTAGCTTATCGGGGATATCAATAAATAAGCTTTGCCTTCATTTCAACGTATTGTGTTAAATACACCAAAGCCTTCTTCGCTAAGTTCTTTGAATTTTTTTTCTTTTGTTAAAGCTTGTATGTTGAAGCTTTGTGAGTTAAGCATGTATGTTGAGGTAGTGCTCCCTTAATTTCCCGAGTGAGGAAAACTTCTTGGTTGGAGATTTGAAAATCCAAGTATCAAGGTCCAGTAGCATATGGTAGGAGTACCCCAAGTCTTCGGTCGAGGGAGTTGACGAAGGAGGTGTCTTGCTAGTAGCCAAGTTTCCAAAGTAACAAAACTTCACCATTTTCCTTTCTAAGTGGTAGCCCAAAACTCCTCCTTCATATACATTTGTTATGAAAGTTGTTAGGCCCAAAGAAGAAGAGGCCTAGGCAATTTGTTTTCTTTCAAATTTTTGAATTTCCGAATATATATATATATATATATATTTTAAAAGATTTGTAGGTGAAACTTTGGTGTTGAAGCTTTGCAGGTGAAGATTTAAGGTTGAAGCTTTGTTGGGTACCATGAATTGATTTTGCATCACACTATCTTGATCAAGATAGTGTGAAGCTTTTGTAGGTGAAGCTTTTGTGGGTGAAGCTTTTATGGTGGGTGAAGCTTTTGTGGGTGAAGCTTTTATGGGTGAAGCTTTTGTAGGTGAAGCTTTTGTGGTGGGTGAAGCTTTTGTGGGTGAAGCTTTTATGGGTGAAGCTTTTGTGGGTGAAGCTTTTGTGGTGGGTGTGAAGCTTTTGTAGGTGAAGCTTTTGTGGT